GGCGACGGCGGGGCGGAGGCTGGAAAGGGGGCAGGGAAAATGACTCTCTTAAGGTAACGAGTCACTTCGCCGCGGCGAATATCCGTGCCAGGTTTCTCGAAAGGGCGAGTTTATCTCGTCACGGGACTCGATATTGTAGGACGCCTCGGGCCTTCAAGGGTAGGAGGCACGCGGAGGTCGGAGTGAAAAAAGAATGGGCCGGGGCGATTAAGTTTTTAATGTACACGACGTCGCGGCTGAATTGTACCCCGAGGAGCTGTCCGACGGGGGATGAAAGGCGGCTGGTAGAAGTTTATTCGGATAATAGATTGAGGATAGGGGGCCGTTGTCTCGTTGATACTTGGAGCGTGATTTTTCGAGAGTTTCGAAGGGGATCGCTGATGGGTTTTCGAGTGGGAGCTTCTCGGGAGAAATTTCTCGAAGTGTTTTCGTCGGAATCGTCGATAATATCTCCGAGAATCGGATTAATTGGTTATTAATGGAGATTTGATACTTATTTTACAAGAAGATTCGTACTTGGAATAAAGAAATATCGCCGAGTTTCATACGATTGCGTACACAAGCGATGATAAAAATTAACATTTTACACTCGACCGACTGTCAGTCGTATCCAACGACATATCGTAATTATATAATTGAAAATTCAATGCTAAACATTGGACGAGGTATCAACGTACGAAACATAGAAGCAGAATAGTTCTGTCTCTTAATCACAAACATCGAAGGACACGAAGTGTTTACAGTAGAAAAGTGTGGTCGAGCGCAAAGTGTTACCAAACAGCCGTCGAGTTCGTACTCACCTTTGTACATAACTTTATTGAATACACTGGTTAACACCTGCAATTCCGCATTCAGCGTCTCCCCCAGCTGAAACAGACGGAACAAGGCTTCTTTGAGTGCACACGTAGGGACACGAACACACAGGAAGCGTATCGGTCTCGCGGAAACCACGAACCGCCCCCTTCTTCGCGTTCATTCTATACCCTAATACGTTTTCCATCGATTTCCCATGAAAAGGGGGCCGTTCCGCGCTGCTAAGTGCGCCGGCATAAAGAGGCGAAGGCGAAGAGTCGTTTCGGAACTTCTACACTGGCCGCCATTAAAGGTAACCGTAAAACCCCGGGCTAAACCGGGACCGGTAACTCTAAAGTAACGATAAATAATAAAAGCTCATCTGGGCATCGCGTCGAGATCAAGAGTTTCCCCTGTTTCGCACTGATGGAACGGCCCGGTAACTGATCACGCGAAACCAGCTTTAACGACGCGGAGCCATCTTTCCCGACCTCGTTCCCCCGCGTCCTCGTCCCTTTTCACGTCACCGCTACGTCCGAGCTGTTCTCCAACCCTTACCACCTGTTTACGGCCGAAGATCTTGTACTCTCGAACTCCGATCCCTTCTTCGCGACTGGGACTCCCGCATCGGTGTTTATGAATTTACGGTAGTTTGCTATGGGCTCCTACGAGCCGAGCGTTGAATTTGAACATCGAAGGGAATATTGGACATTCGAATTTCGCATTTGTTTCACGAGGATTGAGTATCGCCATTCGTTTCGTTAGGTATTTTTCGTGATTGGGATTGAGAATTATTATTTGTTTTATTATTTATTTTTAGCGGCCATAGCAACAATTGCATTGCAGCTGCACATTTACAATAATAGCACTCTGCGAACCTTTACACAAAGGTTTTTATTAACAAAATATTTCGCCGGATTTGATCGTAATCAAATTGAGAGTAAAAAATGTGCGCGCCGTAAGAGAGCGGTTTTTAAATAAAATAGAAATCAAATTCAATCGCGCGGCTGCCGATAGCTCCAGGATACAATACCAGCTGTTACTTTATTGAAAATTTTCGAATCTGTAACCGATGAAATCTGGGAAAAGAACGGGGAAAAATCCGTGCTCGGAAAATTCCCGCGGAAATTCCGTACCGAAACTACAGAGGCCGTAAACGACTATCAAAGTCTAACATGATAAATGCAATTATCAACTTTCCATCCATTTCCGCCGTTCCCCGATCGCGAACGTGTCCACAAAATTCACAAGCAATTCACACTAAAACCTTACAAAATTCTAATAAACATCCGAAACCCAGTAACAAAAATAAACACAAAACCTTTCAGTTTCTATCCCTTATTCCCTCCGACATCAAATTATATCCCGAAACCACAAAAAGCACCATTTGCTCGCCACTAATTCCCCGAGCACCAATATTTGTGATTAGAAACCACGAAGATCAACCCTAACTGGCGTCGCAAAAACGACTATCGCGCTGCACCCCGCAAAGGGTGCTCGTCTACGGTGAAAGGGGGTTGGGGAGCGAGGGGGTTGGCGGAACGACGCGACGCGACGAGTGAAAATAACCGGGAGCTCATTTAGGTTCCTAGATTGTTCGAGCAGCGACACCGAGCAGTGCTACCAACTCATTTGGATCTCATCCCTCAGACAACCCCCAGGGTATAATCCGTTTGAATTACAGCCGTCAACACGGGCCCACCGTCGCGACACACTTTTACGATGCGGCCACGGCGCCGGAGAGAGATCGAGCACCTGTTAAAGGTTCAACGGGACACGTCGCTCGCTCGCGCGCGCGTTTTGCGGTCGCTTTGGGATCGTCCCACGGAATTCTTCGTTCGCGCTTTTAACCGCGCGCTTGGCCGCGCATTCGTTAATTTATAGAGCAACGGCCGCGACCCCATTGGTTCGATAATTCACCACAGGTAGCTTCGTTTGTTAATTTATTCCGGCCACGCGGACCCCTCTGTTAATTAATTCGTTCGCCCGTCAACCGTGCTAGTGTTTCGTTTCGCTGTTTCGTAGCGGGGATCGGATATTATTCGGACTTGAGGATGTCTCTTGGTTTTCAGGACTTTTGAGAAGATTCTTTGGATAGTGAGATGATTTTCTTTTGTGTGGAAGCGTGGTGGTTTCGTATGAATGGAAGCTTGTAATTTGAGGATCTCGGTGTTTAGCTCGTATCGTCTGTGGAAATTTGTAATAATAGATATTGAATAATGATAACAGTGACGACAATAAGAGCAATAATAATGATTTTTAGTTTGATATTTGGCGACAGTCTACTTTTTCATCTTCGACAGAGGAAAATATGTTCCTAACAACCGATTGAATTTTAGGAAATTTAATGCGTGAAGTTCAATAAATCGAAGTGATTGATATTTCTGTTATTTTCTTGATCCACAAATTCCATTTAAATGAACCGCAAACTCAACTGTCACATTCGTTTCTTTTCGTTCTTTCTAATATATGTTGTAACAAAGGCGTCTCGTCATTGTTGTAACCGTGAAATACAGAACAACGAACCCACTAATTTTCACCCACTAATGATGCAAAAAGGGGTAACGCAGGCGTCCCGCGTCAAAGAAGCGTCTCCAGCGATCGTTTCCAAATCATTAACCAAAATCACTCGTCGCGCGCCGCGAAATTAACGACGCGAAACGAACGAACCGCGGCGAAAAACCGGGCACCGGGGGAAACCGGGGAAAACCGGTCCCCGTCACGCGACAGAGATTTCGCCTCCATAAAACATGCAATAGGTTTTTGCGAGGGGCGCGACGGTGTTTACTTTCGGAATAAATTTCGAAGTTCCGAAGGCGGCGCGTCCGTTCGCGCGTCTTCCGGTTCCACCGTTCCACATCCTCCGTTCGTCCCTCCCCGCGCGGTCTTTAGCGGGACGCGCGGCCGTGAAGAGAAAGTAAATAACAAGGGAAACAAGAAAACACCGTCGCCGACGAAAATCCCGTTAAATAAGTGAAAAGTACTCGGGCTGAAAATGAAGCTGGGAATAAAGTGTTACTCCTTAGTGCTCGCTTGAACTTCAATGAATTATGCACGGCACTGATCTTCGTTTTTTCCGTTTTCTCGAGCCAAGGAATCAGTGGTCTAATGGAATGTAAGAATATGAATTTAAGGAAGAATCTTTATATAACAAGGTTTTCTAAAATCGATTGAAATGTAGTAATTTCAATTCATAGGTTGTATTTAAAAAGGATATACTGATATTTTCTAAAATGAATTTAAATGTAGTAATTTATTCTATAAATATTGATATTTTCTATAATCGATTGAAACGTAGTAATTTATTCTATAAATATTCTATAAATATTCAATTTATTAACGTTTCTATTTAAAAAAGAACCTTTACATATGAATCTTTTCAAATTGTCCCATGTATATCTGGAAATCTTAAAAGGATGTTAACATGTCGTACAAGACTTCAAACCGAACTTCAACTAAGACTTCAAAAACTGCATTTAGTAGTGTTGTCAAGTACAATCGCCCACAAATTTCGAGAAGCTACAATAAAGACGTCTTACTTCATCTACAAATGTAAACGCTATCTCCTCTCTTACAGAGAAACATAAACAGACCTATCCTTTCACAATCGATAATCAATTAAAAAAGAATCGTCGAAACTTTCTCCATTATTTCTTCAGGTAACCCAAGAAACTTCCACGATCGACTATACGGTGTACCAACGGATTTCGTCGCGAAACTCGCAATAGTAACGACACAAACGTCCGAATGTAGCCAGTAAAGTGGTTCGAACGGCCTAGGTGGTAAACAATTCGGTCGTCTTACCTGGACCATTAACGAGATCGCGACCAGACCTTGACTCTTGTGCTGCGCCTCGCTCATGTTGTGATACAATTCCGCGTTGAAGCCGTATACTTGTATCTGAAACAGAATATCAGACCAAGTCCGGATTATTTCCACGTGTAATCACGTCCTCCTCCTCTCCCCCGCCGTCGCTGCAAGCCTTAACGTCATGCTCGTATTTCCCGGCCGCGTAATTACGTCGACAAATTTCGTCTTCGCACGAACGAATACCGGCTACCGGAAGGGATGCTTTGTGTGCCCCGATAATATATAATACCCGTCGTGGATCGTCTTCCCGAAATTGTGTTACCCCGCCGAGCGGAGCCGGTAGCGTTTTCGTGCGTGTTGCAGGCTTTCGAATGAATTAACCGTCGACAGATTTCAAAAGGGCCCTCGGCTCAATAGACGCGACCGTCTCGTAGATCATTGTAGTTGATCGTTGGTTCGCGGGTATCATAAGTAGTGATTTTCGGGTTTGTTGTAAGGAGGTATGCTGATTTGAAATGTTTTTCGTCGGGGGTTGAATGTTTGAAAGTTTGAAAGTTCGAATTTGAAAGTTTGACCGTTTGAACGTTTGAACGTTTGAGAGTTTGAAAGTTTGAAACATTGAAAATTTAAATGCTTGAAAATATGAATTTCAAAGCTTGAACACTTAAATTTGAGGTTTTGAAAATTTTGAAGTTTAAAAGTTTGAAAGTTTGAAACATTGAAAATTTAAATACTTGAAAATATGAATTTCAAAGCTTGAACACTTAAATTTGAGGCTTTGAAAATTTAAAAGTTTGAAGATTTGAAAATTTGAATTTATATTTGAATACGCATCTGAATCTGAATTTGTGAGTTTGAAAATTTGAATACGAATTTGAATTGAAATTTGCAATATTCAAAGTATTTCAGTGATTGAAGGTTGAAACGTTTTATCACTTTCACGTTTGATATGAAAGCTTCACGCTGAAGATCAAAAGATGAAACTTACTTTTCCTGTTAACGATTTTATTAAATTCCGAAGAGTATATGAATTTTGTTTAAATTTGTATAAATTAAATACTGCAGCCACGATTGGAAATTGATAAACGTCAAAGCGTTTCCCGTGGAATATTGTTTTATTCCCAGCCAACAGAAACGAACAAAAATCGATGTATACATGCATATTAATCCAAGATTCTATTATCGGTTTATGGTACTCTACATCGACAATAATGAAAAATTCTTCGAGGACATTCCAAGGGCTGTTACTTTTTCTGCGATATACCGTGATCCTTTATTAAGAACTTTATTTCGATAAAACGAAGACGCTACCTTTTGCCTTCTTCCCATTTTATAGGTAGTGGATCGATAAGGATTCTTCCATGCATTCTTGAACCCATGTTTTTCCCCAGTAAAACGAAAAGTTAACGCTCAACCCTTTTTTCCATGAAATTTATTCGCATGGTCGGGGTTGAAGTATTCTCCCGGGCGAAATCTAATGAAACAAGCGGAAGAAACAGTATTCAAGAGAAATTTCTAAAAAAATTCAACAACCCCATAACATTATTACAAACTTTGTATCTTCTCTCATTTATTCTATTACCCCATTTATAATTACTTTATTCCACAATTTTAAATTTTATTTCTATATAATAAATAATACAATAGTAATATCCTTGATCAAAGCTGTACAAAGCTTTGTTGAAATTGGGAACGGTAATTCAAGTCCCCGGGCTTTCATAAAAATCAAAATTATCCTTTGCAAATGCTCGACGACCGCGCGAGATGCATTCGTAAATTCACGGAGCATATCGTCACATTCACGTTCCCCTAAATCTTTTCGATTTCCCTCTATCCCCTTCAAAAGCATCCGCCTCGTATTCGTCGTCATAAATTCCAACTAGCCTCTGTACATCTCGCGTCTTCAAAGCGAAGCAATTCGTCTTTCGTTCTTATTTCGTGTTCCGCCGCGGCGCGGCCCGGGCAACTCGGGTACCCGGTTAGAATTTTTAAATAAGCCGCGAACAGGCGGAGCGGTGCGGCGAAACAAATCTTTTCCGAAGAAATCGGAGGAAGAGGAACGCAGTTGGGAGGCGAATAAAGCGAACAAAAGCGGAGAGATCTTCGCGATTATAACAACAGTGTACGGAGGAAGGGAGAAGTTAAACCGAATTTTCTTTTAATCGAAGTAGAATAAAATCTCTTCCGGCTTTCACGTTTCAGAATTTCATTCTGCTTTAGTTTATATCGAAGTTTTTTCAGTCGCGTTAATTACATTTATCAGCGATAATAAACCGTTTTCACGTTTTCTTTGAAAAGAGAAATTTTTTAATCGAGGAATCGAAAATAAAGAACGTTCTCGACAGTTGGAATTATATAGCATCAATCTTTCGAAGTTACCATTACACTCCGCACACCGGTGAACGCTGACCAGGTTAATTGAATTTATCGATAATAAACGCTTTTCAAATTACCTTCTAAAAGAGGAATTTTTTAATCGAGGAATCGAAAATAAAGGACGTTCTCGACAGTTGGAATTATACAGCTTCAATCTTTCAATGTTACCATTACACTCTGCACACCGGTGAATGATAAACGGTTGCGTTTCGAGAAGAAATCCGACCTTTAATATTGCACGGCCTAATGGGAAACAATACGAACGAAACGAAGAGGCAACTTTTAACCACTGTTACGTTCCCTCGGCCCCTCGGTCTGTTGGTAATGGCATTGCCACGGCGCTTCCGCCGATGCTTCGTGCTCCTTGAAATGCCTACGACGCGACGAGTCGTGCTTCAAAGACGCCGCGAGGAGCGGCTGTAGCAACACGACTCTGTGAACGGGTACGACGTAGAGGGCGCGATCGCTCGTAAGGGTGTAAAACGGATGGAAAGAGGGAAGAAGAGGTAGGATTGAAGAGACAGAGACCAAGCTGAAGAAGGATGGAGAAAGCAGAAAAACAAGGAGAAAGAGATAGTGAAGGAAAGAGTGAGAAACGGAGTGCAACAGAGACAGTAGAGAAGTAGAGAAGTAGAGAAATAAGCAGAGAGGAAATGAGAGCAAGTATAGAAAAGAAAGAAGTGTGGAGAAGGTAGAAAAGACAAGAGTCAAAGATAGAGAAGATAGGAAATAAGAAAAGGTGAGATGCACAGAAAAATAAAACAGAGAGAAACAAATACAGAGAGATACAGGTGTAAAACGAGAGAGATAAACAGATGGTTAGAGGTGCAAAGAGGAAAAGAGAGACACAGAGGGAAAGAGATACCAGATTGCCGGGGATGAGCGTAAATCCACTGCGTCTGATCAAAGTAGGACCAGCACTACTTGCAAGATTCCCCGCATCCTACACGAACCGTTCCTCCATTTTCCTTTTTCTTTTTACTTCTAACCCTTCGCCGTGACGTCGGATTCTCTTCGACTGCCTCGAACCCTCCCCTCGGAATTATCCTTCCGTTTTTCTCTGCGCCGTTCGCGCGATACGCGAGGGGGAAATGCGGACTTTTGCTCGGGCAGCCCGCTCACCGCCAGACTCGACGCGACCAGATAGAAGGAGAATTAAGTTCACGGTGCTACGTTGTTCCTGATCCTTCGGAGAGGACTTTTAAACAACCCTTGAAGGACCGAGGACTCGGTTGAGTCATTTGCTTGTAAAGTTGTTGATCTTTAATCGTGGTTTTCCCGGAATATTGCGCTTCTCAAGGAAAAATGATTTTTTGATATTAACACGTGGAACGCCGCACGATTTCATAGAGCAAAGTACACAAAATGGGGAAAATATAATATTAAATCATTTAATTGAAACGCGTTATTATTGTTGCACACTGAGCTTGCTCAATATCACCGCACTCGGAAGCATTGTTTATAATACGGAAATATTGTCGAATAATCGTCGTTTAATTGAAATGAACTATAGTAATTCGATTTGGTTGGGTGTCACCGGTGACCCACCCATGGCATTCAACGTGTTAATGTTGCAGAGATCGCGATGTTACGAATATTGTTGATTTCTTGTATTGGATTTCCGATGAAAATGTATACGGGCTTGACTTTTTTGTTAACACGTTGACTGCCACGAGAATTTCGAATGTTTTGCGTAACGGTACATATGCTTTCATAACAAAGACAAATGGTATTAGAAATATTTATTAATGACTTGGTATCACAGTACACGTGTTACACTACCATCTAGCTGTTTGTGTTACTAAGTATTTTTAATCGACATCAGTTTTCTTATTGTAATTGTATTTAAGTAATTTTGAAGCTCCGGTCACTGGTGGAGTAGATAGCTACCTAATCTACCTAATCTACCTAACCTACCTAACCTACCTAACCTACCTAACCTACTTAACCTACCTACTAAACCTACCTAACCTATCTAACCTACCTAACCTACCTAAACTACTTAATCTACCTAACCTATCTCCAAATAGGAATGAATCGGAGGTGACCTTTTCATTGAATTTTTAATAAGCAAAGATGAATTGGAGTTGACTTTTTGGTTATATTTCTAATAAGTGTAAGTGAAACGGGGTTGACTTTTTGCTTGGATTTTTCACATGCGGCAACGCCGAGGGAATTTTAACGGCGAGAAGTTTCATTTAACTTTATTAAACGCTTGGAAATACTGGTGAATACGATGGAGTATGTGGAATTGTGTAAGGGGCGGTTTATTATTTTTATAAGAGTTCGTTATAATTGTGACGAGGATTAACTTCGGTTACTGATTAATTGCGTTATTAAAATCGGAACGAGCGTTTTTTTTTCTCTCCACGGCAATTGAAAATCGTAGTGGCGGAAAAGTTCGTTAAATTCG